ATGTCAATACAGTGACATAAGTCTAAGCCTCTCTCTCTGCTCAAAGTGATCTTACTATAGTCAGTCTTGATGCACCCTCTTTCTTCTCTTGAGTTCTGTAGAACCCCAATTTTTCTGCTTCTACAAGACACGAGGGACTTTGCAAATGTTTTAAATTAATGTTCACAAAGTACTGGCCACTCAGTTCGTAATTTTCAGATGTGGAGCTTCTCTGAAGGAAATACTTGAGAAGACTGAAGGCATAGTGCGTACAATTAATTATAATTAATAATTATTCAATGTAGCGTTATAAATTATCAGAATAAAATTGTGGCCTAATGTGTAATCTTTCTAAGTAATTAATGAAGCTCACAGATCATCCTATGAAGCCAATCCAAGTGTGAAAACAAATTTAAAAATCACTCTTAAATGTTTTCTTTTAACTAAATCAGTCAATGAAAACTTTGAAATCTACTAATAGTTACTTTAGAAACCTGTTAAAATATACATTATCCTCTTTAAAAATAAAAAGAAAATTTTACTGGAGTAAGGCAGTTCATGAAGCACAACTTCATAGAAGCACAACTATATTTTATTTTTTAACATCTAAATAAAATAGTCATTCAAAATAAACATTCACAAAAATAAAGGGAATTATTCTAAATAAATAATTTCTAGTACTGTGGTGCTATGAAGGAACTCAAGTTCCATCCAAATGAGATGTTTTAGATTATCATTGCAAATACCTGTTGTTTAAAGCTTAAGATTTGAATTAAAACACACAAAATATAAATTACACAAAGCAAGACTGATATGATTTCAGAAAGAAATCGGAGCTATGTCAATAAAATATGTGTAAAAAAATAGGGAATAAGATAAAATGTGTGCAAGTGGATCCGAATTCTTTAAAATGCCCACTTTTCACAGACATATGTGCACAGTACACAGGTGCATTTCACTAGAAACTGCATGTGATGAATGAGTTTAACAGTTAAAACATGCTGACTCCAGACTCCAAAACATAACAAGGAAAAATAGCCATACACCAATCAATAGTAGTTACATTAGCAACCACAATTACTTTCATTCAAATAAAATCATTCCCTTAAAAGGAATGAAGCCTGGGAGTGTTTTCAAAATATGTGTCTAAAAAAGATTTTATTTCTGTATTTGAAAGGCCACTACATTATGCTTTCTTTGAAGAGAAATTTTTAAATACCAACCAGTTGATTGTAAAGCACATATATCCACTAAAGTAATAACTTTAATTATTACAACAAAGAACCCTTAATACTTCATCCTGATTATACCTTTTAAAAGGAATGTTCTGGCTGGGCATTAGGAAATTAATTCTCCAGCCTTCCCCACAATATCACTTGTGAAAAATGATGGAATGGAAATATGGAATCACAAAATTACTGATAGTGCTGCTGGGACAAGAAAACGAAACAAAATTCTCCCTTTCCTTTTCACCGCCAGCCACATCACCCATTTGATTCTACTATAGGTAAATTCTCTTCCTTGTTTTCCCCTCAGTCGGTATTTCTGAGCGATTCCTCATGGATAAATGAAATACTTCCTCTGGTTTATACTACCAAATAGTAAGGATTCTAGTCTATTTACATATCCTGGTCAGTTGTCCTGAAATATTGGGACAGACTCTTTTACCTATGCTTGGCATTGGTGTGCGATACTCTTATAGTATGCCTGGCCTCTTCTTCCCAAGGTGGTTGAGTAATATCAGTTATATGGTGGGCAGGTTCTTATTTGACATGAATTCACGGGTGTTTAAAAGGCTTATTATCCCAAAGCATATTATCTGTTTCCCCAGAGATATTAGTTGTCCCAAGCAAAAAGGGAAGAAAATCTTTATAAAGTCTTAATTAAAACTGGGAGAATTTAACATTTACAATTCTCTATAAACTGACTGGATGACAGGAAGAGGGATACAGACACACGGTAATTATGCACCTAAGGGTGTGTGTGAGGAAGAGGTATTTCCACCAGGAGCAGGGTGCAGACTTCAGCTCAGCCTTCACACATCTCACCGAACTGCACTGCTCCCGGGAAAAAAACAGAGCATAGCTGGGCGTGGTGGGGAAGAGAAAGGCTATGTGACTGGACCACCTAGGCTCTCATTTCCTTTGAAGTCTGGAAATCCCATCGAGAAACTGGACATAATTTTGGACTTGTACTCCCTCAAAAATAAATTCTAGAAAGCAAAATCATTCTAATTCTGAGATCTTTCTAAACCAACATGAAGTATGTGGTGCCTTTTTGCTGAACCATGCATTGTGGTGTATTCATGAAAAGACATCGTAGTTGGTCATGACTAACAATGCCATCAAGAATCTCGTATAACAGAATTTACAAACACATAGGAAGATGGGAAAGGAGATACCTAATGCCACCTGTGTGTTACGAGTTGAAAACTCACTAAATAAGGTCCATGACTTCAAATAGGCAGTTTTACTACTTAATGTTACAAATCTTGACAGTTCTGCCACAGGCATCAACTTCTTCAGCACTGTACTGCTGCCTTTGTTACATCAAAGATTTTCAACAGAAGTCTGTAAATACACATATTTCATACAAGAATAGATAATTTTGACCACTTGTGTTACACACTGTCAGGCAACACAAGCCTCAGAGAGCAGCTGACATCTCCACTGATGGTATATGACTGGTACCGTTCTACACAGCAGCTCTGTCTTAATGCAGTCTTTGGGGAAAAACCTCAAAACTACCACCTCTCCACCCAAACACCATTCATCCAAATCACTGATCTCGGTGGAAATCCAAGAAAACCCTGTTTTTCCCCCCAATGTAAGTGCTGCATTTAAAAGATTTAGAAGGCTAGAAAGAAATTCTCAAGCCAGTATTTTACAGATTTCCTCACATCAGAAGGCTTTTTGGCCAAATGACCTTCTGCTTCCAACATGCCATCAAAATGAGTCAGCCACAAACGTATTGTGTTTTCCTATGGCGAGTCAATTCTTACAGATGCTATAATTTTTTTCATATCCAGAAGTTTAAAATTTAAAGGCTTATGTAAGTATTACTTCAGTTTTAAACATTTGTCCTACCTGTAGAACATTTTATAGGAAAAACTCTTAGAAGGCCTGGAGCTATATCGCTAGTTCCCAAATCTAAAACTTTGATATAATATTTAATGTGAATTTAAAATGCCATATTCTCTATAATAATTCTACCTTTCAAGGTACATAATAAAATCTCTCCACCCTTTCTGGTGGCATAAAAGAGGTATTTGGGACCTGTCTCTACCATGCCTAATTAGAAGTAATACATCACCCCTTTCCTGGCTTAGTGATGTGATCACAGTCAATCTCAGGTTTATCTGCTAACTTTATAGCAAACCAAAGCTACAGATGGCATTCTTATTCAAGCTTTTTTTTTAATTTTTACTTTTTAATTTTTATTTGTTTATATTTATTTTTATTCAAGCTCTCTTGACTGGGACAGTACAAAGGATCTGTGTAGTGTGGGATAATACTGCTTTGTCATCAGAGGCTTCCACACAACTGGACAGTGGCACCTTCTAGGTCAGCCTTCATTCACTGACCTACCACTCTCTCAGCTAGAAGGCTAGCTAGCACCTCTGCCTAGGGTCACACCAAGTGACAGCAATCTCAGTCTGTGGGTCAGGTCTGGGTTGTCATCATATTGGATGTTCCTTCCACTTCAAAGATTTCCACGACCCCAGAAAAATCGCCAGATAATCCTCGGAAGAAGAGCACATACAAATAAGCCCGTTTGTTAAAGAGACTAGTTACAGAAATTAATTTCATAAAATTCCACAGACAAGGCTGCCACCACACCACAAGAAAGTTGTTAAAGCACTGTTTTAGATATCTAGGGTGAATGTATTTAGACTAAGTGTTTGGGGCAGATAGGAAGGTTTTCTGAAACAAAAAACTCCTGTGTATTCACATGCAAATCCATGTAAAATGCCAGCGGCCCATAGATAACCTTCTGCTATGTCAACACCTGTAGCCTATCAGAGACAGCATCTATGGATGGCATGAGTTCACCCAACAATAGTTTCTATTTCATTAGGTATAAATATTTTGTGGAAATTTTCCTATTTAATGGTTTCTATCATTGTTGAAGAAGTCTCAGTATGAATACAGAAAGTAAACATATTTTTATTTCCCTCACATTCCACTTGATTTAAAAATATATGCACTACATTAAATTATTCTTCTTGTAGCTAAATTTTATTTTTGAATAATGTTTAACCTCGATGAAGGGCTGCATAATGATCCCTTTGGAGAGGGATCCGCTTTTGGCGAGTGGCATGCAGCCCTACCAGGGAGTTAAAGCTGTGTGGATACAAGTCATTAGTTAAGAATCACCCAGACAATGCTAACAGCTAACCAGAGCTAAAAGGATAAAGGGAATGAGAGAAATGATCAATTACTGGTATTTTAAACAACCCTTTGAAAGAATCAAGGGCTGGAAACAGCCGCTGTTTCTTGACGTCTGCCTCACACTCAGTAGATCGCGAGGGACTCCTGGCTGCAGAGCAGCGGGAACTTTCGGGCTGGTGGGCAGCATGGGCAGCCACAGACCAGAGCGCTCCAATCTCTTGGCAGCTGGCCTGAAAAGCCCAAAGACAACCCCAGCGCCACCTGGGGACCCACCAGAGGGAACTCGGAAAGGGACAAAAGTCTGGTATCCAAGTACTGGAGTTAAGAAAACAAGATGCGCAGGTTCGGCAGCTGCAGGAACTGGGAGTGAGGGGGAAAGGCAGCAGTACCCAGGGCTTGTGTGGCATGTCACATAAGCGCCAGTTCATTCCAAGATGTGTCAGGGGACTGTTGAAATCCCAACTCAGGACTCCATTCTCCACTAACTTCGTTCTGTCTCCCCGGGCAGCACACCCCGCTGTGGTAGGGGGTTGTCCTGGTCCCTGACTGGCTGGCCCCTGGGAAGAAGGAAGAGGATGGAAAGATGCGTTCGCGGGCCACGGTGGCGCATAGGGGTGCCGTGGTACCTACCATGGTATTCCTGTCCCGGTACGTAGTAGGTGGGGTTGCCCGCAATATGCAGGGAAATGAGCACCTCGCCCTGCTCCCCATCCCCTTCCAGCTCCCCGTGGTGGGTGCACAGGAAAAAGAAGGGCGAGAAGCGCGGGTAGTAGCCGGTGGCCGCGTGCGCCCTCAGTGTCGCCACCAGCAGCATGGCCAGGACCAGAGTCCGCGGCGCCCAGCAGCCGCGCTCCATGCCGCCGCGCTCCGTGCCGCCGCGCGCCCCGCGCGCTCTCTCATTCAGTTTTGGAGCCACCCGCACGGAAGAGCCACGCGCAGGGAAGGCGAGCCGGCCGCGGGCTCGAGCCAAGCGGTTCCGGGCAATCGAGCCCGCGGGGAAGTTGGCGGGAGACCGCGGCTCCCGAAGTTACTTTGGGCCTCGGGAGCGAGAGCGCGGGGCCGGAGCCGCGGGCGCGGAGAGCTTGTCGTCCGCCTCCGAGCGCCGCCGCCTGTGTGCGCGACGCCCCTCGGCCGGGCCTGGGAAAGCGCCCGCCCCCTCCACACCTTCTTAAAGCCCCGGGCGCCGCCCCTTTCCCCCCTCCCCCGCCGTCGCCACACGTGTCCCAGCCGCGCCCCCGCCCCCGCTCCCGTCCCCGCCCCTCGGGCTCCGCTCGCACCTCCGGCTGCGCCCGGCTCACACGCATACCCTGCCCTCGTCCCGCTCGGTCCGAAAGGGCAGGGCTGCTCTGTCGCTGCAAAACGACAAGTCACCACGGACGGACAGGCTGACGGGTTGCCCGGGGAGGCGAAGCCCTGGGCCCGCAGCTGCCCTTCTGCGAGGATGCGCGGGGAAGCCGAGGGCCGCGGGGACCGCGCCGTTCTTTGTCTGCGCTGGCTGCTCCCCGCGCCCCTCGAGGCCCGCCGCCCCGCAGCCCCTGCGGCCAGCACTTGTCCCGATGACCCGCCCGCGCGTGGCCCAGAACCGCGACGGTGCCCCGCGCGCACCCTTTCCAGCCAGGCCTCGCAGCCCCGACGCTGCCCCCCACCCGGGTCCTCATCTGCAGCCAGGCTGACAGGGAGACCGTGGGGTTGCCACCTGGAGTGGTGCGGGGCCAGATTGTCGGGCTGCTTGGCCGTGGGGACCCGACAGGCGCGCTTCGCCAGACTCTGCTGTGACGCTTTGCTACCGGACTCCTAGGGCGGACATGGGGGCAGTGAATTTTAAGTCCAAGTTTATTTCTTTACATGCCATGTATGACCACTGTGCTGGGGTGGGGGAGGGGAAGGCATGCAGAGGAGTGGCTGGCAGCAGCGATGAAGCGGGTGGTAATGAGCTGTCGCACGCAGGACTGCGGAGAAGTGAAATCATCCAGAAGCAGGTTTTTCACGGAGCACGGCTGGCAAGAGCCCTGCAGCATCCGGAAACCGGAGAACAGCGCTGCCAGGGTTTAAAGCATTTCTCCACCGTCCCCGGCTCACCATCAAGCCGGGATAAGCAAGCCTGCTTGTACAGAAACGCGGAAACTGTAATATCGAAAGGATAGTCAAGCCCGAGTTTGGAAGCGGGGTATCAGAAGGCGATTTTTTCTTCCTCTTACCCAAGCATAGTTTCGGCAGAAAGGGCCTAACTGCCTGTTGGTCTCCTATACTTCAAATCCCCCCGAAGTTCAACAGCTGTATAACACACACACACACACACACACACACACACACACAACTAATAATAATATTAGACTGGAGCTCTGTGCCATGCAGGCTACAGGCTGCAGATCCTTGACCTAATGGAATTCTACCACCACCACCGGTGGTGAATAGAATTCACCACCTCATTACCGGAAGAAGCAAAATTCGCCCCATTTCACAAGGGAGAAATTAGAATTGTTAATAGCTTGTCCCAAATCAGGTGAAAGCTGACCCCAGTGGCTGCTGGCCTATTACTGTCTACAGCCTTAGGCAGAGGGGAAAACATGGCCACCGCGGTTTGGGGCAGACCTGGGAGAACTTCCTTCTTCCTCCAACCTAGGTTGGGTTGCTTTAGCCGCAGCCGCCATTATGGTAGTTTAGTAGCTGACTAAATTAAAATTTGAATTCTTCAGTCATATTAATGACATTTTAAGTAACCCACAGCTACATATGGCTAGGTGTTGAATTAGTGCAGACTTGCAGACTATCAGACAGAACTGTCACATACAGAAGAGAAAAGCGAATGTTCAGTCATTCAATTACACTTGCCAAATTCTTCCTATATACCAAAGTGCTGGGCGCCATACTGAGAGCAGCAGATAGAGTTAGGTGCCAGCCCACAGGGAACTAGTGTTGGGATAGGGGTGAAGCAAAACAGGAGTGCATAGTTTAGTTTATAGGGCAAAGGGACTGCTCTCCACCGAGTGGCCAAGAGAAGCGTCTCTGAGAGCGTGAAGGGGGAGCTGAAACTTGTTCATGTGGAAGGGCCATGTGAACATGTGGGAAGAACGGTGAGGCCAGGAAACCAGAGTCCAAAGGCCCTGAAGCAGCATTGTGCTTGGACAGTCAAGGCTCAGGAAAAGCAGCAAGAAACAGGAAGGCTGCTGTGGGCTGAAGCAGCAGATCAGAGCACCTAGTGATGGGAACACTCAGGGTCATGTGATCATAATGTAGTAAGGGACAGAAGGCTGAATGCCAAAGAGTTAGAGAGGTTTCAGGCTTCTCACCGGTTTTTAAATATATATCAAAAGTAAATGATTTAATCTAATTTACAGCACAGTTTCTAACATGCTATAAAAGTACATTGACTCATTCATTAGTTCAACACATGATAATTGAAAAACTATGGTATACAAAGTCCTTTGCTAGGCTCAGGGGAAATGCATTTCCTGCCCCATGGAAGTTACCTTTCAGTGGGAGAGACAGATACCAATTACTATGATCAATTATGGAATCATAAAATTGATACATGCTCTTGGGAAGTAAAAAGTAGCAGGAACAAAGAGGACAGCGTTGGTTTGGCTGAGGAAGAGACTGACACTAAGATGTGCAAGGAGCTGACTTCAGAAAGAAGAAAAGCTCTCAGGCCGAAGCATCTTTGTGCAAGAAAGAATCATGGTGGAAGAGGAAACAGAGCTCCTGGCAGACAAACACGTGGGTGCAGCTACCGATGCAGGCAGCGGCCATCGCTCTGTGAAGATTGTGGTCTCTACCCTAAAACAATGGTGAGGCAGGAAGCCACGGAAGCCACTACCTACTTGTCACAGTCGATGTGTGCACCTAAAAGATCATCCCCATTACGCCAGTAGATGTCAAGGAAAGGCAAGGAAAGTTCACGCTTTGCAGAGAACATAAGGGGAACGAAGCTGATGAGCGTCAGGACTCACATCTATAGGCCTTCAGAACAGATTCGGTGATGGATTGGAGACAGAAATAACAGGGACAGATGTGTTAGCCGTCACTGATGACGGCAAATTGTGGCAGTTAGGGAAGCTGTTTTTTAAGTCTTTCTTTTTTTTTATTTAAGTGAATAAAGTGGAAAATATACATATCACTGAAGTGTGAAAGAAACGTAAGTATAAAATATGACCTACTCATTCACGTTAGAGAGATGGCTCCGTGGCTAAGGGCACTGGCCACTCTTCCAGAAGACCAGAGCTCAGTTCCTAGCACCTACACGATACTCATATCTGGCTGTAACTCAAGTCCCAGGAGATTCAACACTCTCTTCTTGCCTCTGTAGGTACCAGGAATGCACATGATGCACAGACATAGACACAGATAAAAACACCCATATAGATAATTATTTTAAGTGATTGACTCTGAGGTGCAGAACACTATCATGGAGTACTCTTGAGTAAACTGCAGCCACACAGCATTAGGCAAAAGTCTCCATGGCCCTTTGAGCAATTGCTCTTGTCCCAAGGCATGGAGTGGAGTTTCAGCAAGGTGTTCAGGATGATTTTTTTTTTTGCCTGTTTTAAAACGTTATATAAATGGCACTATACATTATATTTAATTTTATATCTGGTACCTCTGGCTCAAATATAATGGCTGTGAGAATATGTTGTTAAATGTAGCAAAGGATTATTCACTTTTATGAATATATCTCATAGACAAAATCACCATTTATTATTAATGTAGTTTTGAGTTATTTTCATCTTAGAAATATGTTTAAGTTTTGGCTATTGTTCAGATATAAACACTGTGGTTTAAAATACTCTTCCATGTATCTTTTGGTGAAACCAATATATATCCACTCCAATTGAGAGAGGGAGAGCTGGACTGTTGGGGAAGGAATCTATTTCAATACAGTAGTTGAGCAGAACTGCTTTTTTTTTAAAAAAAAAAAAAAAAAAGTCCTTACATGTCAAATATGAAGTAAAACCAGGAATCCATAGATAACAAAGTATGCAGCTCACCCAGCACTTTGATACATCTACCCATTTCTGTAGTCCTTGCACGTCCTCTTTGGTGGCCGTGTGGGGCATGGGACAGGAGATAAAGCTCAGGCCCCAGGTGGGGAGGGTGATAGGACTGTGCTACTCAAAGTGGCTTTGCAGATCAGCCTCGACACTCCAGTACTGGCCCAGAGATATGTACAGAAATGGGGTGTTTAGAAACTCAGGGTAACTCCCAAGTGGTATTCTGTGTTTATACTTTATGAAAGTGTCTGTCTATGATGATACGAAAGGTTACAAGGCATGATAGGAGATGCATGCAAAAAGCTGTGGCCCATCCCCAAATCTCTAGACCCTCTGTGAAAGAATGAACTAGGAAAAAAAAAAACTTCCCACATTGATTTTAATATTGACAGATGGTAGTGACGTCATGGGAACCATCTCACCCAACTTTAAAACTATGGTTTAAGAAATTCTGGTTCCTTTGTCCAGTGACTGATGGAGGCAGATACAGAGATCCAGAGTCAGGCACCAGGCTGAACTCTGGGAATTCAATTGATGAGAGAGAGGAGAGATACTGCAGGCCAGGGACGTCAAGATCATGATGGGAGGACGTGCAGAGATGACCGGCCACACTAGTGGAAGCCCGTGAACTGTGGACTGGTGGCGGTGGAGCCCCCATGGGAATGGACTAGGCCCTCTGGATACGGAAGACGGTTGTTTGGCTCAAACTGTTGGGGAGGCACCCAGGCAGGGGGATCGGGATCTGTCCCTGGTCTATGGGCAGGCTTCTGGAATCCGGTGCCTATGGTGTGACACCTTGCACAGCCTTGGAGCAGTGGGAAGGGGCTTGGACCTGCCTAGGCTCAGTATGCTGGGCTCTGCTGACTCCCCATTGGAGACCTCGATTTGGGGGATGTGGGGATGCAGGGTGGCTTGGGAAAGAGGGCTGGGGGGTGAGAAGAGAGAGGAGGGGGGAATCTGTGGATAGTATGTGGAGTGAGTAGAAAATTTCTTAATAAAGAAAAAAAAAAGAAATTCTGGTTCCAATTCACACTTCCATTTCATTTGAAAGATCTCAAGCCAAGACTGTGTGTCCTGTGTTTAAAGTATACCTATACAGTTTGCAGAAATGAATCCAAAGCATCCCCAGGAAGAGAA